GAGAGAGAGAGAGAGAGAGAGAGAGAGAGAGAGAAAGAAGGGGGTATCATAAATTAATATAAGAGATGAAACTTGGGGAAACGGTGGCATTCAAGAGCAACGATTGGAATACAGGGTGGTTTGGCGGGGGATGAAAAGGTAATATAGATCTAGATCTAATATTATTTTTTTAGTGTGATTACGAATAAAGGTAGATCTACATACGAACGTTCAAAGAAGACGTATGCAATTATTGTGATTGTGTGATTGGACATATGGGTATTTTCCACCTCTGTAGAGACAATTTTTGAAGCGTTTTGACAAAATGAATTACTTCTCGGATTGAAGCCTTAAATTAAGAAAAAAGATACATCACACTTATATAGGTGAAGTTTATACAATTTATAATTATGAAATAATAAAAAGACAGTTAAAGAATATGGCATCAAAAGAAAATCTACAATTTTGACCCTAATGTCGATTTTTGGCCAATATCTTCATTTGGGGATTGCGAGAAGTAACTCATTTTGTCAGCATGCCTAATAATGAATAATTTAGGAAATGGGGTGCTTCTTTCCAGCCTGTCAGGAACCACCAACCCGGGCGGAGAGAGACAATGGGTGGTTGGCGGGTGCTCTGGTGTGGTTTGCTCCTTCTGTCCTATCAAACATATATCGTCCTGACCACTCCTCCTTCTGTTTTATGTTTGTTACTCTCTTGTAACACATCTAATCTTCGGCACTTATATGACCTTTTTGTGTTGCAAACTCTTACTAAAGTAAAGGAGAGAGACACAAGGCTTCCGCAGATATTTGGATACTCGGTTAATCCTCCCCTCACAAGAATCGAACTTACATCTTTTGCGTGCGACTGTAAAACGCCTAAACCGCTATACCACAGGTATAGGTAACAAATAATAACACGATGATAGCCTGAGCGAAATTCAGTTAGAGAAACTGGTTGACTTGAGACACGACTTGACAAGACTAAATAAAACATAAAAATGTGCCGTCTGAATTAATTTATTGTCGGAAAGAAGAGAGGCAGAAAGAGAAATAAAGTTATTGTTCAGTTCGAGGCAGCTGAAAACAAAAATACATGTAGCAGACGCACTGCCAAAACGGGAGAAAAGCAGCTAGACATAAAGGATAAACAATGCAAATTTACGACAAAGGGTTGGATGATCAAACCTCCGCAGGAAACACTGTCAGTGGAGATTGACACAGTCAAACAAATTAATAAAGGTTATGGCAATTGTAGGTTTTTTTTTCGGTATTTACAGATGACACTTGAAAATAGAAGCAGACAGACAGACAGACAGAGATACAGATGCACTTATAAGCACGCAAACACAAAGAGCTCATGCGTGCAGTAAAAGACGTAAAGGAAATTAAATAAATTAATGGAAGAAAGAAAGCAGAAAAAAGAAAAAAGAAAGAATGCAAGATAACAAAAGGCGAAAGATAATATTATTTTTTTAAAGGTGTTTGCCGAAGGAAAGAAAGAAAGAAAAACAGAAAGAAAGAAAGAAAGAAAAGAAAGTAAGACAGACAGAAAGAAAGACCGACAGAAAGATAGAAAAAGAAAAGAACAGAAACTGAGATACAGAAAAGACATGATTGCATCCCTGTATCGGTTGCAATTGAATGAGTACTGTGATAAATCACCTCTGTCGTTTCTGCTCACAGATTAATGCAGCAACCTTTGCAATTGTGACACCGTAATTTATTGCCTGGTCATGACAAAAAATTAGTTTTGAACGCCAGAAAAAGACTGGGGACAGGATGGAGAGAGAATGGAAGAGAGACTCTCTATCTCTCTATATCTATCTATCTATCTATCTATCTATCTATCTATCTATCTATCTATCTATCTATCTATCTATCTATCTATCTATCTATCTT